AAGGGAGTTGCTACTTTTGTCAAGACAAGCGGGGCTATAGAAATAAACAGAATCTTCAAAGCCTCAATCAGGTATTCTCAACCCTGGTTTTCTGGTATATTCAATTCGCTAAAATAACGTTTTTTACCCTGGCGGAGGTGTAAAGCAATTTATACTGAGAATCCGCTATGATCTCTGTGGGGTAATGGGCGGCTTTGTTGCCCTAGCAACACAACCCGACTAAACAACCAGACAACCCACCCTACAACTCCAGCCGCCATCCCATTCCAAAGGATATTACTACAGCCAGCTATTACAACGCTACTAAGGTATCACGTTGAAATCAATTCCGCTCTACTACTCTAGAAAGTCGCGGGAAGCCTGGCGCGACACCGTCGTCATCATCCACGAAGAAGCATCGATACACCACCCATATATCTGCGCAACGAGCAATCCGTGTCATTGACCAAGGCCCATCGACCTGCAAGGCACAATGCCAGCAGTCACGACCGACGGGCCAACGGTCGCCCTATCCTGTATGCGATGATTCGTAACGGTAACTCATAGGTTACGAGACTGACATTTCTGCAGTTGCGAACAACTTCTGGGGCAAAGATGACGCCGGCGTCGGACCTATGTTCGAGCGCATGCATGCTGCGAAACAGACATGCGATGAGCTACGATCATTCTACAACTGTAAGAATCTAATGCCTAGGAGCCGGTCGCATTGTGCAAAGCTAACTCGGTGGTTCAAGCACGAGCATCAATCGAAGATGAATACTCTCGGAAGCTGCTGTCGCTCTGCCGCAAATCCCTTGGATCCCAGGAGATGGGTACCCTCAAAACGTCACTCGATACTGTAAGGGGCGAGGTGGAAGCGATGGCCAAGCAGCATCAGAATATCGCTGCTCAGATGAAGAGTGAGCTTGAGGAACCGTTAGCTGCCTTCGCTGGCGGCATGAAAGAGCGACGCAAGATTGTCCAAAACACCATTGAGAAGCTGCTCAAAGTCAAAGTTCAACAGACCCAACAAGTGAACAAGGTAAGTAGTGCCATGAATGTACGGGTAGGAAGACCAATTCTAATACAATGGTAGACTCGGGATCGCTACGAACAGGAGTGCTTGAAAATTAAGGGCTACCTTGCACAAGGACACATGGTTATGGGTCAAGAAGAGCGAAAGAATAAGGCAAAGCTCGAGAAGACCCAGATTAGCCTTGCAACGTCAAATACCGAGTACGAAAATGCCGTAAAGGCCCTGGAAGAGACGACTGCTCGCTGGAATAGAGAGTGGAAGGCTGCCGCCGACAAGTTCCAAGATCTTGAGGAGGAGCGACTGGACTTCACGAAGAGTAGCCTGTGGACTTTCGCTAATATCGCATCGACTGTGTGCGTTAGCGACGACGCATCATGCGAGAAGATCCGCCTATCTCTGGAGAAAATGGAGGTCGAGAGAGACATTGTCAACTTCATCAAGGAAAGGGGAACAGGACAGGAAATCCCAGACCCTCCTAAATACATCAACTTCTGTCGAGGCGATGTTGATTCCCAGTCAGAGGCTTCAGAGGATGAGAATTACTCTGTGGCTCAATTCCCTAGAAGCATTAATCCTGCCTTCCGGTCATCTTCTCCACAGCCGTCTACCTACGAGTCACACCATGATCCTGCTTCGGCTCTAGCTCGAGACCTTGGTCACGGTGACCCCGGCACACCTCCCAGCCGGGAACAAACAATGACGCCTCAGAAGATGCCACTGCCGGTTATGCAGCCTCAGGAGCGATCTCGACAGATGCCACCCGATGGATATCAGATGCCGGTCTCGCAAGGCAGGCCACCATATGATCCCAACGAGTTTGCTGCCGTGCCTCACGATCCCTACCCTATGGATGGAATGACAATGCTTTGTCGCACCCGACCAACTTCTGACTTGAGCTCCCAACTCAGTTCTCAGTCTGGGTCCCAGCGACCTGTCAGCCGTGATGAGAATAGCGACTATTCCAATCCCACCTCGTTCTCTAGTCAAGAACCACCAAGCGGGATGGTATCTCCTGTAAAGCAGGAGCCTATTGCGCCTCCCGTCGCAGAAAAGAAGGTGTTGAAGAAAAAGAGCGGTTTCTTCCAGAATCACAGCCCATTCAGGCGCAAGAGCACCAAAGAGGTTGCACCGAACAACCGAAACACATGGCATCTTGGAGGATCTAACTCAAGCCGTCCCCAATTGTATACTGGCGATGCTCAGAATCTGCTGCAGGAACGGACTGCCAGCCCTGATCCTATCGATGCAAATGCCAGCTTGGCACTCAATGTCGGGAACAACGTATTTCCTGTGACGACCCCCGGCAGAGACAAGAAAGCTCCCGCCAACGAGCCAGCAGCTCCGGATGATGATCCCATTGCACTAGCGCTTGCAGAGCTCAAAGGTGTCACTGTAGGCAAGCAATCATCCGTGAGAGTTTCGGCAGACCATTATCATGGTATCGCGACACCAGCGCCAGGCGCGCAATCGTTCTCTCGCTCTGTCCCGCCCAGGGGCAGTAGTGCAGTTGCAGCAGCACAGCGAGGTACACCACCTCCATCCTATGACCAGCAAGTGCAGGTTCAGCGTTTGGGTGTGCCATCGCCAGCAGTCACCTCCAAAGCAATGAAGCAGACATCACAGAAATACACTCAGCAGACGAGAAACATGTTCGGTGCCGAGCGACCAGGATCAGGTGGCTACGGCACACCAACGCGGCCCAGCACCAGAGGTAATGGCATGCCTCGAGCAGCGTCTCCGGCTCCACCGCGGAGTGTTTCTCCTAGGCCTGGCATGAACTCAGATCCTCGCATGTCACATAGGTCGGCCTCACCCAATCCTTACAGTGGAAGCCAGCGAAACGGCTCGCAAATGTCCATGACTCCAAAGCGAGATTCTGACCAGGGTTACTACCGTCAGAACTCGCCCAATGACATGGCTCGAGCAGCTTCGCCCTCTCCCTTCAGGGGCGAATATGGCAGGCCGGGTAGCAGCCATAACGATATGGCCATGCAGTTGGCTCCAGCACCTGAAGACGGCTATGGGTCTCAGCGAGGACGGGGCAGCCGACCTGGTACAAGCTCGGGCCAGCGGGGAATGAGCCTGTACGAAGGCTCTGGGCCAGTTCAGTCCGCATCGAGACAGCGAAGCAAGAGCGTTGCTGACCCCAGCCGAAACTACACACCGGAAGGACGACCTATCATGCACTTTGGTGAGTATTTTTCCTGTCATATCCTTATTTATGTTCCTCACAGTACTGATATTAAGTATTAGCCCGTGCATTGTATGTATACCAAGCTGCAATTCCAGAAGAGCTCGGCTTTGCAAAGGGTGACGTTCTCGCCGTCCTCCGTCATCAGGACGATGGATGGTGGGAGGCCCAAATTCACGGAGGAAACGGACACATTGGGCTGGTCCCCAGCAACTATCTCCAAGCTTGTTGAGCAGTGCCCATAATGGAGGCCCATCTTAAAAGGAAGTATGCTGAAATGCACGAACATAATGTTTGCCTTCTTTGTCTTCAATGCAGGCGATTTGGTTTTGCAGCTTTTGTCACTCTGGGGAACTGCATCAACTGGAAAGGTTGCATTTGTCTAAATAACGTAGTGAGTTGATATGGTCAAGGGAGTCTGTCAAATTCAAAATACATTACCTTACACCCTGCTTCTTCAAGCAGCCTCTGCGTATAATATTGTGACATGTGATCGGGTCTTTGCATATGCTAACAAGGACGATATCCCACTATGCTTCATAATGAGACCTGAGACTTGTATGTATAAAGAGACTAATTCCACCCTTCCTTTCGTAGAGAGAGAGAGAGAGAGAGAGAGAGAGAGAGCAAGATCAATCTAGAGCACCTTCATCAACTGAAATGTCAAGACTCATGATGTTTCCTGCTGGGCAAACTGGAGGGAGTTCTGCCATGGATGAGGACCCCTGGGCCAATTACAGCGGCGCGGGCGATGTTACAGGGGTCAGTGGCACACCTCGGTCGTCCCACACGTCATTCCTGAAAAAGGCGCCGGCACCTAAGAGCTCGGTAGCTTTCGGCGGGTCGAGCTCTCCAAACTCCCACTTCAACCTCTCGATCGGGCGCTCTTCAACACCTCAAGTCTTCGCGCCTTTTGGCGCCGCTTCTCCTGGGAAAATGGTATGTCAAGTCAAGTCACAAGCATTCACCTGCTTTCGAAGCTAATGTATCGTGCGCTTATCAGGAGTTTGCGCGCAACACGTACGATGCTGTGACATCTAAGAAAGCACAACGAACCTTGGTCAACACGGTGCTCATCGTCGCCAGCTCCACGATACTCTTCGGGCTAGCTGCAATTGCATACCTGCTCTTCTACCACAATTTCCTGCCTGACCAGGTCACTACAGTTCCAGTGCATCTGCAATATGGGTTCGTCTTTCGCGGTTTATACAGATACCTTTGTGCCCCTCTCTTCGTCATGTTGTCCGATGACAGCAAGGCTAACAGCTGCCAGCTACGAGCTCAACCCTTACGGCGTCGCCTCCCTTGCGGACAAGAATTTGAAGGACCTGCAAGATTATGATATAACCGTGACCTTGAACCTCCCTCGGTCTCGCCCAAATCTCGACCGAGGCAACTTCATGATCGCCTTACACCTCCTGGAAGCCGCACCGAGTAAGATTGCTGCAGCTATAACCCAGCCCAACCCACCGGGCCCATCCAGCGCATTTGAAGGGAAGACGGTGCTCTATACTTCTACACGTCCGGCGATACTGCCCTACACAGACCCTCTCGTGTCACTTGCCTCGCGCCTGCTCTTTCTCGCCTACCACATCGTCTTCCCGGCCTCGGAAAAGGTGACATTGGTTGTTCCCATGGTGGAGAAGCTACGGTTCAGAGAGGGCGGCATGATGCCGACATCTCTTGCACTGGACATCCAAGCTGGCCAGTCGCTACAGGTGTACTCCGTCAGCGTCACTATCACGGCGCAGCTCTACGGGCTGCGGTGGATCATGCACAAGTACTGGATCACGTCGTTCTTCGTCTTCACCACGCTGTTCTGGCTGTGCGAGATGGGCTTCATGATCGCGGGCTGGGTGGCGCTGAGCATGCTGTTCGCGGGGCCGTCCGAGCAGGAGAAGCTCAAGATCGAGCCCGACCGAACGGGCGGCGGCGGCGCCGTGGTCAAGACGGAAGGGAACAGCAAGTCCGGCACGGACGAGGACGTGCCCATGACGTTCCCCACCTCGAGCCGGCAGCCGCCATTGCGCTACGAGCCCTCGGTCAAGGAAGAGCCGGGGGCGGAGAGCAGTGAGCTGGCGAACATAGCGCCTGCTGGCGGCGAGGCCGACGACGAAGACGATGAGGAGGACGAGCAGGGCCGTTGGCGGGGGGACTCGGGCATTGGGACGAGCTACAGTGATAGGGACGGAAGCAGCCTTAGAAGACGGTCATCTCGAGGCAGGTCATCATAATCTTGCTCGTGTAGGATATGAGGATCGGGGGTACATCTTTTGCTTGAGACCGAATGCCCTGCTATTTTATGAATAATGAGTGTGGATTGGTCTAAAACAGATAGACATGTGACAGTATGGCAAACATGACGATATCACTTTGTAGTTGAGCATGACAATGCGACAATACATATGCCGTCTCAGCAAGTGAAGCCCCTTCTAGGTTCGATTTCAGTTTCGGGATAGCTTAGACCTGACTCGCGGTAGCTGGCCAAGAGGCATACAGATGGTCACATTCGACGGAGCGGCCCTTGTGACTGACCAATCCACTATGACGACGGATGTGGCTTCTGTGGAGCCGGTGAGCATAGCTCTGGAGACTTGAGAGACATTCCGGAGCGTGTTTGCCGTCATCTATCTTCAAAAGCAATATTCGCTGCAGTGGCTTATGCCATATGGTTGTGGTGTTTACTAGCGCCAGCTGGTTTCCAAGGAGGTTGTTTCGAAGGGGAATGTCAGCAGAGAGGGGCCTTGTGTGTTCTTTGTAGAGGCACGTGCGCGAGACATCTCAACAGTTCGAGGTCATGTTGGTGGTGGTGGTGATGGTTGGTGTCTTACTTGCCATTGAACCTCACAGTTGAGGAGGGGCCGGGACCCACCAACCAAGGAGCCTTACCCGTGGTTCCCATTCTCCAGGGAATTCAGATCGTGTAATAGTGAAGTGTTAGGTGGGAAAGAAATCGACGAACGTAAGGTTTACAGGTTTACTTCACCTAACACCAACCTAGGTAACACCTTACCTTAGCTTATTAACCCCTCTAGCACAGTGAATCTTGCTTGCACATGTGCACTTAGTTAGGTAGATATGTCTGCATACTGTGGAGAAATGGTGTAGTGTAGGTCTCGCGTCTTTGCTCACCGCCCAAGGACCCTCTCCGACTACTGTCTGTGCTCTGCTGTGCTGTTCAATCCCCCCGCCCAAAAGCCCATGCACTCACTCACTGTCGTTGCTGTGCGGAGAAATACTTTTCGAGGCCCGGCCTTACCTTCCCTACGTTACCTTACCATATCATAGCCTGCCGTACCGTACGGTACCTTGCCTTGTCTTGCGTTGCGTATTCTACCTGCCTACCTACCTACTTGACTGACTTCCAAGTCTGCTCGGGACGGACGCCTCCTCATCTGCCTGAGAAAGCTTTCACCTACCTCGCCTTCAGCCTCACTCGCCAGGCTCCCTTGCTCCCAGGGCACTCCTCTTGGACAAGCGAGAGTCTCTTCTTACTACGACACAACACGTCCTCCTTCCTCCATATCCATGTCGCCGTGATTACTGTGCCGTTACCACGATTCCATCCAGCCCACGTGGGCAGTCCATACTTTTGTCTGCCGAACCGTGCTTCTCCGCGCCGGGTGGAAAGCAGCTGTGCTCGACCGCAAATCCTACCGAAGGCGCTGTTTCCACCTCGTGGGGCCGTCTTTCCACAATCTCGACAAGCAATTCCTTGATCACTGTCGGCGCCCGCTCTGCTTTGCCAGTAACTCAATCAGGCTTATTCAATTCTACCATCTTAGCTTGTGTTGACCTCGGGACTTCGATCATCAGACGGCCGCCTTCGATCCACATAAGCTTCGCGGATTACACATAAGAGGAACATCATTACAACGCCACGATGCCCTGCTTCAAGGGCATTGCGGTGAGCATCCATGCAAATGGATCCCCGCTTCCCGAGTATGGCATGCAGAAACAGTCTCGATTCTCGCGGATCAGCAGCTACATCCCCGTCCCACAGCCTAACGTCACCGGCGAGTCGAACAAGGCCGAGCCTGCCAAATTCGCCATCTCCATCACTCTCCTCACACCAGGCCTACCGATCCCGTACTCGACTCCAAAGGCCACAGAGGCAAATCCGTATCCAAAACCGCAGGTCGTTGGACAGCTTCCGTCGCAGAGCGGTGAGCGGGGTAAATACAATGGGGTCGTCAGTCCCTACATACAGATGACGAACTCGGACAACGAGACGATCGCTGCATACATCTACTTCGACGGCCGGAGCAAGGAAGAGGTTGCTACGCTGCTCCGCCCGGGAGAGGAGACGTGGGTCAACAGCAGATGGGTTCAGGTACCTGATGCCGAGGGCGGTGGTCTTGCCGAGAGAGAGTTCCTTTTCCGAGAGGTTGGTTTGGAGAGATGGCTTAACGGCCTGGACCTCAAGGGTCACGATGCGGCAGAGAAGTTGGAGAAGCGAAGGCAGAAGTTCGAGAAACGTCGCCGGAGACAGCGTGCAGCTGAAGAGGGCAACGGTATGGAATTCGAGAAGAAGGACGGTACTCGGGACACACTACGATACGGCAATGACGATGGCTCCCCAGTTGAAGCAGTATTTGACGAGGATGATTCTGATTCTCTATCCGACGATGACGATATACCCGAGGCGACAGGCCAGATCAAGGTTGCCATGTTCCGAGTGATAGCTAGTGGCGAAATCAAGAAGGGCGAGTACTCACCGCAGTTCGATGCTCATGATGATGACGACGAGTTTGGAGCTGGGAATTCCAATGGTGTAGACGCGGATGTTGAGCACACTACTAGTTTTGCTAAACCCAAGACGCTCGATCCGAAGACAATCAGCACCCAGACAGTGACTGGCATTGACGGCCCTGACAAGCCATATGCCACCTTCACATTCTTCTACCGTGGCGAGCGTAAGTGAATCCATTCAAGTTATGCTTCTTCTGGCCAAGAGCTAAGCAATTTTGCAGGTCAACTACAGAAAGTGGGCATCCTACCTTCGTCTAAGGGACAGCAAACTACTCCCAGTGCAGCGAAGCGAAGATCTGCTCAACTAGACTTCTCCACTCTTGGGCCTCTGAAAACAACTGGAACGGTAGGCTTCTCGGCTTTCAGAGACCAAGACACGGAGTCGGCGAGACGAAGAAAGTCGCGGAAGAAGAGCAACGGGAGCGCCGGCGGTGCAATGGACGAAGACAGCGACGACGATGACGACAGTGATGCAATCTTGGGTAAGATGGAGGACATTGACGAGAAGGAGGATAAGACCAAGCTTGTCGGTCCCGATGATGCGACATTCTCTGGTGAGCTTGCCGACGGTGTAAACAGGATACGCGTACGTATTGGCTTTTCAAAAACAGCGCCCCTTCAATCTTGGCTAACCTCTCGTATAGCTGAAGAGACAACTCTCCGCAGAGCCGGAGAGCGCAAGCATATCCAGCAGGAAATCTCCAAGCACAGGTCCATTCGGCGAGAGCACACCGTCGGATTCGACTTCGGCCATCGGCCAACCTATACCGGGCGCTTCTGCAGCATCATTGCTTAGCAAGAGCGTCCCAGATGATGCTATTGTCGGTAGCCCCCTCAAGAAGCAGCGGGCCAGCATCTTTGATGGCGATTCGTCACGACGAGAAACACCACAGCTGGGTGATATCCTTGCCAAAGCGGAGGCAGCTCAGAAAAATCAGGCCTCGCCAGCACTTCCGCCCGCAGCGGCTGTTAAGCAAGAAGATAGCGACGAGGAACTCTAGTATCAACTACCCATCTCACGCCGATCGGTACTCATAGTCCTGACGGGCGATGTCAGAACAGTCAGTGTCAGAACACTTACCGTTTTTGTGGTCTGTGGATAACCCTCAAAAACCTCTTCTCCCCATCGTGCACGAAGTCCGAGGATCACATTTTAGATGTACATTACACCTGCGAACCACCTGGGTATTGCTACTATTCCACTGGGTGGTTCCATCTATGAGGAGTACGATAATCATGCCCTGCGTGGTATGGCCAACGAATGATAGGAGTCGAGCATCGGAAGAACAGGGGATAATCGTGGATATCTTATGTGGCATCAACAGCAGAGCTCCGTCACGAACCCCGGAGGCTCTAGTTGTGTTCGACGATACAGATTAGTTGAATAAAGCACGAGATATGAATTAGACTGATGTGTAAGTCTTCGTAAAGTGGTATTCTCGGCCAAGTGCAAGACAATTGGTTGTTGCAGAGGAATAGGGGAGAACCGGATTGGTCGATGTGTATATACCCTTTTGATCTGACAATTATATTGTTATCCGTACCTCAGAGTGCATGTCTCTATTTGGCGTCTTGTTTCTAACCAACATGCGTCCAAGAAGAATTGGAGTGTTAACATGTTTGTGATACTAGCTGCTTATTGACAGCTGTCGCTCTCATTGAAAACGAGTCCATGCAATGGCTTCCAGTCATGCCATATCAGGCAGCTGTGAAGCTCTCAGTGACTCAACGCCGCGCACTGTTACCCCGCGCTCACCCTGTCTTATACCTAAGTATATATCTGCGTTGGACCATCTACAGACCAATTCTACTCTATGAATGCATTTGGGGACCAACTGCGAGGATGCTGAACTCTGTATATTTGTGCTTGGGTTTTTTTGCCCTCAACGGCGTTACCACAGCAGCAGAGCAACAGAAACCCCTGAGCGGCAGCACCAATCCGCTCACACCTGACTTTGGGAAGCATGTTGTGAAGCTCTTGGAGCAATGGCACGTTCCAGGGCTATCAATTGGAGTTGTCGACGGGGACGACACATGGCTTGAAGTGAGCTGCTCATGTTTCTCAAAGCTCTGGTGGGACTTTATATTCATCTTGCAAATCAATGGATGAAGAGAAGAGATCCCAAATTGTTGTAATGAGCAAGTGCTCTACTGCACTCTAGCAAGCGCTATTCATAAGGAATGGAATTAGGGGTCAAAGGATGAGGAAGGCGGGCTCCATTGAGCCGTCTGCGAGCATCCAACGTGATGATCTATACTTATTCTTCGCAAGGGCTATGGCATCGCGACCTACCCAGACATTCGCGTGGAGCCTGACACGCTCTTCTACGGCGCCAGCACGACCAAGGCGTTTCTCGCCGCCGCCCTGGCACTCATGATCGAGTCTGGGAACTACACGACATCCTCGTTTCCCGCCGAGCCACTCTCGTGGACGACGCCGATCGCCAATGTCATCCGCGACGACTTCGTGCTGATGGACGAGTGGTCCACGACGCACATAACGATCGAGGACGCCCTGTCTCACCGCACGGGGATGCCACCCCACGACAAGGCGCTGGCGCGGTCGTACGACGGCGAGCACACGGCGACGCCCCGCGACGTCGTCCGCAGTCTGCGGCATCTCCCTCTGACGGCGCCGCCGCGGACCAAGTTCCAATACTGCAACCTGATGTACGCGGCCGCGTCGCACGTCGTCGAGACGCTAACGGGCGGACGCTTCCTGGGCTCGCTGCTGCGCGAGTGGATCTGGGCACCGCTGGGCATGGCAGGCACGTACTTCACGCTCGAGGACGGGCTGGCCGCGCCGGAGCACTTCGCCGCGGGCTACTACTGGGACGAGAAGAACGGCTCGTTCGGCACGGTGCCGTACATGCCCCTGGAGGAGGTCACTGGCGCCGGGTCGATCATCTCGAGCGTCCGCGACTACGCAAAGTGGCTGCGCTGTCTCGTCGAGGAGGCGGCTCCGTTGCCCAAGGCGGCGCACAGGGCGTTCAAGACGCCGCGGGTCTTCGTGTCGGACGAGCCCGGGGCCTACGACACGCCGTCTGGCTATGCATTTGGGTGGTGGACGTCGAGTTACAAGGGCCACCGCGTTTGGACACACTCCGGTGGGATGCGTAAGTAGCCTCTGAAGTCTAAACTCACTTCTTTTAGCCATATCTCGTGTAAACGAGACAAATACACGGTCACTAGCTGGACATTCACTCTCGAGACACCTCGATTCAGCATCTCCCTCCTCTTTCACTGTCCTGAGAAGTCAATTACTGACCCCACATGTCCTAGATGCGTATGGTGCAGAGGTGTATATCCTACCGGATCAGAAGTTTGGAGTGGTCACCTTCGGCAACACCGCTTTCAGCTCGAACGCGGTTGGAGAGATCGTTGTCTGGGATCTGATTTATAAGAAGCTGGGCATTGCCGAGGCCGATAGATACAATTGGACTGAAAAGTATGTCACTGCATGGGTCTGGAAGGCTGGTTGAATGGTAGCTCACACGAAACAGGTGGCTAGGAGCCGAAAATAGGCTTCGCGCGAAGGTCGACAATGCATTGGAGGAGATCTATCCGGATCGTCCAACACCAGGTTTGCCGAGAGCTCTGCCGCTGGAGAATTACACGGGAACTTACTTCCATCCGGGATATATGAACATGACATTGGAGCCAGCCACCGACGCTGCTAGGGCCGAGAAGCCGAAGATCGAGCTTGTTGCCGCTAGGAACCAGGCAACCTGGAAGGATTTCTGCCAGTTTGAACACATTTCCGGCGAGCACTGGATGATGTACACATATTTTTCTGATGGCCCTGCTACTGTCTTGAAGGGATTTGCGCCGGCTCAATTCACGATCGGGCCAGACGGGAAGGTCAAATCACTGGGGATTGAATGGCAAAACCTGTCAGGGCTTGTGGACGGACTGATCTGGTTCGAGAAAATAGCATGATGAACAGCATTTTATTTTCGTATACACAGTATATGACGGTATCTGTAGTTCGTCAGTTAGCTATCTTGTTACAATAACAATATTGAATGACTTTGAAGCATAACAAGAGTGCATCTCAGACTGTTGAGCTTGATAAAAAATGAATCAACATGGGTTTGACTTTCAGTTGGCCGTTCTTAATGGAAAAGTTTGTCATCATTGCAGAGAGGTGTAAGAAGTAGAAATTAAATGCTTACCATCTCCTCATAGCAGTGCTGCTTGCCAGGCAGCGACGAGGGGAGGCATGATCATGTATGGATTGTGCTCCATTAAGGACAGCCCGCGATTTTGTGGAAGGAGGTCAGAATTTCCAATTCCATAATTTTTCTTGAGGTTTTAGAGCTGTTGAGTGGAACAAACGGTGCTTATGTAAGGCCGTAGGCGGTGGGGCACTGCCTATCTCTCATATTGACAGGGGACCTAACATTAGTTCAGGTGGGCAGCTGCCGCCGGCATTGGAAGGTGCCCACTCAGCGTCTTTGTTGATGTGCAACCATCTATCTTTTGGTTGCTGTTCTCCTTCTGTAGACGCCCGCAACAGTCGCCCATTCGCCATTCGAAGAAAAGACACCCAGAATCCTTGGGCGGTAGATATAACGGACAATCGAGGGCATATAGACACGAGAATATTGGCCAGGTGCTGAGATACCCAGTCATCTCCTCCCGCACCTGCTTAAAACAGGTACCAAAACCCAAGGCGTCTGACTGGGGCGGCACAACCACAATCAAGATGAATGCAACGAAGCGCAAATTCAATGCCCTCCTCCAGGGGATCGGCAGTAAATCGTCCACCCCCCTTTCCACCTCTGACTCGAATAATGCCTCCTCCTCTTCCCTTCCTCGTCCTTCGCGAGACGGTGTATCCCCAATCGGCGCAGACTCGACCACGATGCTCTTCTCTCGCGACCCCTTGTCGCGGACAAACACCAACGATTCGGATGTTTTGCTGAAGCGCCGCAGATTGGGCCTACCTGGCTCGACAACACCCGGCGATGGACCGCTTGCACCACGACCCGCGAACGGACAGACGACCATTTCGAATGTTGTATTAAGAAAATGGAGCGCCAATGGCAAGGACGAGAAGACAGTTGCGCCGAAATATTGTCCTGGAGACCGAGATCAGCTCTTAAAGCGCCTGGCTAGCTTCCAGGAGCTGACAGACTGGACACCAAAGCCCGACCGGGTTAATGAAGTGGAATGGGCGAAGCGAGGGTGGACATGCCAAGGCAAAGAACGCGTGAGATGTACGCTCTGTAACAAAGAGCTGGTCGTCAAGTTGAACCGAAAGGAAGTGGACGGCAAGGAAGTGCCTGTGCTGGTGGCTTCAGAGATTGAGGAAGCGCTGGTGGAAAAGTACGCGGAGCTAATTGTCACGTACCATCAGGAGGACTGCTTGTGGAGGAAACGAGGTTGCGATGATTCCCTGCTGCGACTACCGCTCGCAAATCCGAAAACAGCGTTGGAAGGCCTGCGGCAACGATATGACGAGCTATGTGCGCGGAAAGACTTTTTACCTTATGAGTTCAACCTACGACTCCCAGTAGGCCTCGATGTTGGCCTTGTTCTAGGCTATCTTCCCAAGAACTTCTTCACAGAACCTGCGCCCCCAACGACGAATCCGCCCTCGTCTTCTCCAAATAGAACAGCCCTGGCTCTAGCAGTGCTCGGTTGGCAGGGTCTATCAAACGCGCGGATTGGTCCCGTGCCCAACTCTGCATCATGTCACACATGTTTGCGCCGACTAGGGCTGTGGATGTTCAAGAGCAAGGAGGTCGATCTCGAGACGAATACAGTACTCGTGCCAGCTCCCATGGACCACCTCGATGCCGTTCGAGAGCACCGTTTCTTCTGCCCGTGGAAAAATGCCGCTGCGCAGAAGAATCCGGGTGCTAGCACACACAAGTCCAAGGTGGACATTGCAGACCCAGACAAACCTGGCTGGGAGCTTTTGGTGCAGGTGTTGAAGAATGACTCTTATCTACGAAACCGGACGACAACCGCTCACAGAAGTGCAAAGAGCGTTAATGGGCCGTTGATTGCTACAGCAACTATGGCAGAGACGCCAGGGCGCCCAACAACAGCGGGAGCTGGCACGAGCGATGGTAGTCAGATCATTATTACTGGACCCGATGGGCAGGAGGCAGACCTTGAGGATGAGAAGGCCCGCGATGCAAAGGATAAGGAACGCTGGGCGCGGCTCCGCAAGGTGAAGAGTCTTTTTGATACGAAGGGGAGCAAGAAACTCAGGAAGACGGTCAGTCGGCCGGGAACGGGACATGATTCGATTAGAGGAGGCGACTAATGTGAAAGAACACTGGCGCTCGTAATGGGCTATGTGCTTGTTTGATGTTCAAGATACCAAATGTCTTCCAGCGAGCTTTTCAGCATCATCAGGGGGTAATAGGATTACATGCCACATCCATAACGTTCGATTTCAACAGCTTTGTGATCAAGCAAGGCAGATACTATGTATGGAGGGCAGCTAGTCAAGGTCTTGCCAGGTGCTAAAATTGCAGTGAAGAAAATAAAATGAAATGCAGCTTACTTGCAGCAATATCAATCCAATGACCTTTCTGTCCCTGATACAACCCTTGCCATTTGATAGCCATTGGATGACAGCTGACAGTCGTGGCCTCCTTCAAGACTTGCTAAGGTCTATAATTGCAGTGCACCAATCCCGAGGCCTCACTCGCAAGGTGGGAAGGTCTCTGATTGCAGAGCACTGACCTACAGGGGAGGTACCTTTGCATCGACTTGATGTCATTCGCCAGGTACGAGAGACTCCCAGCCCTGTGTTCAACACCTCAGTACTAATTTCCGACTATTATACTTAGGTGACCAAATATGAATATTGATAGTTCAGCTAGATTAATCCCAGAAATACTTTTCATCCTACTAAGAGTGTAGGGCTATAAAGGATATCAAGATCACTTTCAGGTGGCCCGAGAAGGATTCATAATGTAGTCGCATGAGCCATAGAAACTCTGCGATGAAATACGTGAGCCTGGGAGGGCGGATCTTGCGCCGTGAGGCAAAGTCTGCATAGGATGCGAGACATATCTCACAGAAGACCGCCATACACAACAACGTCTGGTCTAAAACTTCAAGTCAAAGGTCACATATATCTACCACGTATGGGTAAAAGAAAAAGAATATACAAAACAAGTGCTGCAAGTATCGTAAACTCGAGCGACTGTGGCCCAATCTAACGTTGGAAGATCATATCTATTTCGGAGATCCAATCGGAATGATTCTCAGCCTTGTCTGGCAAGCAGATGAAAAAGGGTTTAAAGAGCCTTGCCAGAGGCTAAAATTGCAGTGAAAGTAATCATATTGGTGGACAGTGCACCACACCGAAGCTATATAGCCCGTAAATTGATAAAAAGCATCACAATACATGTCAAGACGATTTTACATGTCTCAACATATATGTCCTGAACATTAGAATGAAATTTAGAAAGTATTGACCCTCATTACCCTGACGAGGTGTAGCATAAGGTAACGAGACATCATATCAGCTTAAGAAACGCGGTAAAGGTGCTACAATTTAAGGGGTATCAAGTTTCTTTGTCTGGAATATTAAGACTAAATGCCATTGCCCATCATGAAATCGTAACCTTCAACCATCCTGAACAAACTCCAAGCCCCTTGTAGTTCATCAATCCATGATTAGCCAAATAGAAAATGCTATGCTGTCATCCGCGCGGTTCCACCTGCTCAAAGCTGAAGCGTGAAACCTGTCACATTTCTTCAAAAGGTTCTATGCCGCACTTACACCTGCACCGTCCTTTCACGGAATCCTACGAGCGGCAACCCACTTCGAAGCAACAGGCTGCTAGTAACAACACTGATGCTACTCAGCGCCATGGCAAGACTGGCCCATACAGGATCGAGACGGACATGCTTGCCATTAGACATGATGGGGTAAAGCGCACCCGCCGCTACGGGGACAGCAATGGCATTGTAGATGAGCGCCCACCCAAAGTTGAATTTAATGCGGCGGAAGACAGCACCTGATAAATCAAGCAATGTCACAATGCCTCGTAGATCTGACTTGACCAGTACGAAGTCCGCGGAGGAGATGGCAACATCGCTGCCACTACCAATGGCGACGCCAACGTCTGCTGCTGTTAAAGCAGGGCTATCGTTGATGCCATCACCAACCATAGCAACCGTCGCGCGGCGAGTCGTGGACTCAGAGTCATGACCAACACGGGCCTTGAGTGTTGACTGCAAGTAAGTAATCTTCTCAGATTTCTGAGCTGGCAGAACCCCGCTGATAACCTGATCAGATGGAATGCCAATACGCGCAGCCACGGCTGAGGCGGTCACGGAGTTGTCCCCAGAGAGCATCCAGACTCGAGTGCCCCGGGACTGGAGTGCTCGAACGATCGCCGGCGCCTCTTCCCGGATGGGATCGGATATAGAGAGAGCAGCCGCAACTGACCATTTAAGCGAGATGGTGGCATCGTTTTCAGATGATATGGGCTTTGTGGCTGCGAGAGCAATGGACTTGGCCTCAGTCTTCCACTTCTGAAGCGCTTCTGAGACCTTTGTAGAGATGGAGACGGAGAAGTCCTTCAGCAGCGCTTCGTTACCGACGATGATCTCAAAAGATTTATCGTGGGTTAATGTCCGGTAGACTGCTTTCATGCCCTTTCCGGGTATTTCTTCGAGATTTTCGACGACGACGTTTGTGTCAAGCCCCTTCGCGGAACAGTAAGTGACGATAGCCTTGGCAATGGGATGACTGCTATTATCCTCGACAGCCTTGAGTGCGGCTAGCATTGATTCGGTAGTCTTATTGTTTACTTCCGTGCTATCAGGGAAGATCTCTGAGTCTGTTATGGTGGGTTGACCGCCAACGGTGAGAGTGCCTGTCTTGTCGAAGACAACACAGTCGATCCGACTAGCTTTCTCGAAAGCTTCGCCGCCCCCCTTAGCAAGGATACCGTGTTTCGCTGCCATTCCACCACCGATAAAGATTGCTGTTGGAGCAGCGAGACCCAGTCCACAGGGACAGGCGACCACAAAGACAGCAATAGCAAATTGCAGCGAGAAGGCGACCCAACCCCCGGAGCTGACGTCCAGATAATGGGATGGGATCCTTCCGCTCAACCCCATTGCCAACCAAATGAGCCAGGTCAAAATGGCGACGAAAGTGACGATAGGAACGAAGTATGTTGTGAGTAGGTCTGCAATTTGTTCCATCGGGGCTCGCTTCGTCTGACCTTCACGGACAATATTGACAATTTGGTCCAGCATCGACTGGCCCGAGACGCCAGTGATCTGTACGAGTATGGGGGCGTCCTTATTCACTGTCCCGGAGAAGACTTGATCGCCGGGGTTCTTCTTGATCAAATGTGACTCGCCAGTTAGACTTGATTCGTCGAAACTGCTCTCACCTTGAACCACAGTCCCATCTGCGGGTGGTGAGCCACCATGAGGCACACGAACAACATCACCAAAGTCAAGCAAATCAGCCGCGACAACAGACGTCTTCTCTTTATCGCCTTGCTTCTCGAACAAGGTAGCTTCCGTAGGGCGAAGCTTTCCAAGGGCTTCCACGGCATCTCCAGTCTTCGACTTGCTGTATGACTCAATAAGTCTACCAATTAACAAGAAGAATGTCAAAAAGACGACTGAGTCAAAATAGAAATTGGTGTCACTGATCTCCTCCGGATGATTGGCGGCGGCGGCAATGAGCTGGCTGACCGAAGAGACATATGCAATGGTCGTACCTAATGACATCAGAGTATTCATGCTTCCAAATCGATAGAACCGCTGTAAAATGGGAGTTCGACTCCCAGGTCTCCAAAGAGTCTTGATTTCCTTAAAGGCTCGGCGATGGAAGAGATCCGCTCCAAAGAAATATACTGGGGTGGCCATTATGAACAGAGCCATTTGAGCACGACTTATTCCAGAAGTCCATGGCTTCATAAGGAAATGCTTGGTCATGTTGCTGTCCGGCAGCAAACTCATATATACGATGCCGATGACGAAGGTTGGTATGGCAATGATTCCAGTAAGGGCGACTCTGTATAGAATCTGAAGCTGATGCTTCCGCTGAATTTGCTTGGAACGTTCTTCCAATGTTGGTGGATGATATATGGAGGCTTCAATGGCGGGGTCGGTCGCAGCGATTGCAGCCAATATATGACGAATCGTAAAGTGAGGAGCTTCGGGCACGTAAGTGACCTTCAGGATTGGACGCTGTGGCGTTGGCTGGCTGACAACATCAAGATGCCGCCTGAAGCCGGCAAGACTGCTAGATACCCTGCTAGGGCAATGGCCACAATAGATACCGTCGACCAGTATCTCAACCGTCCTCACTTGGCTTGGGGCTTTCTCTTCCTCTAGGTCAACGACCTTATCAATGGTTGCGTCATAACCAAGGTCCTCGATTGCCTCCACGAGGTTGTCGGTGTTTTCTCGACCGACAAATTCAACAGTTGCAGAATTAGAGACAAGGTTGATGGATACTTTGGTGATCCAGTCTTTCTTGTCCAACTCGTTCGATATGGTGTTGACGCAGGCAGCACAGGTCATGCCACCTACTGCCAGGGTCGCTCGGTAGACATTTTGCAGCTTCTCCTCCGTATCGACGGTTATGAAGGATTTGGTCGACATGACGGCCTCGCGCGATTTTAAGCTGTCTAGTGGGTTTGCAGTACTTGAAGTGTGTGACAGAGCTGACTCTTCAGGATGACAAGCAGTATCCTTTCCCTCGATGATGGTCTTCTCGTCCACACCAGTCTCCTTTGTCTTGCGACACTGCTCACAGTTGAGCAGGTGTATGTGCTCCTGCGGTGGTCGGACCATTTTGCCCTTGTGTGTTAGACGAGAGGCACTGATCCACCTACCGAGAGCTGCTGACGGCCTGGATATATCTTGTCTGCTTGCCTCGCCATTGCGGCTACTAGTTGGAGGGCGTTGTTCGAGCTCGTCCAGCTCTGAAAAGTCTGCGGCAGAGGAGGTGACACCGGAGACCTCGAAGCCGGCGTCCTCGAGAGCGGCGGTCATGTTCTTAATGGTAGCGGCTGAGTCGTGTTCCACGGTGACAACAGAGGTTACGATGTTCGGTGAGACCCATCTAACATGATCCGCGCAGGAGTCGTGTAGAACGCTCTTGACAGTGGAGACACAGGTAGGACAGTGGAGGTTGTCCAGGAGGAAGGAGGTAGTCACCGTCTCGAGGGACTGGCGAGCATTTCTGTCTGACGGCGCCATGGTGACGGTCGATGACAAGGCGTTGGCCCGGTTAGCACGGCGCACAAGACTTGACGGCAAGCGGCTCGACGGCCGTGCAAGTGAATCAGATTCCGGTGGCAGTTGTTTAGGAGTCTGGCATTGATTGGTGATGCCGAGATTGCTTGAGGCACCTGGCAGTCCGTTATATTAGGCCTGTCTGTTCTAGGAAATGCGGGACGGCAACCAGCTAATAAGGTTGCGATCAGCCTGAAATCGGATGGCTTGCAGATCGTGGAAACGAGACAGCACCCCAAGGTCGGTAGCGCCTTCTTGGGATGAATGTTTGTGGGGTAAGTTAGGAAGAGGCAGGTGTGTTGGTATGTACGAATATATGAGACTTGAGGCTATCGTTCCGGGAAGGCACTAGAGTGACAGACTGTCTGGTAAGGAAAATGTTGCGTTGATCGGACTCAACTAAAGTGAGGTAGAATACGATAATGCGAGGAAAGCTAAGTCCTCGTGGGTAGACTTATACAGAGCATGAAGAGAAGAAAAGAGAAGGACAGAGAGATTTCTGCTCGATTCTCACCTGCTTTTGCAGAAGAGCTTACCTGATGTCGAAACATGACGCTAACACTGATGTAGCTTTCACGCACAAACAGCGCAACCCGCCTGTCTGCGCAGTGTTGTGGAGGAGACAGAGCGCCACTAGCCTTGCGCAGTTTTCGCGGGAAAGCTAAGTAAGGCAAGGAATGGGGTCACCTTGCCTCGCTAGCCCCGGCACCTGCCCGTGGGCTGGGCTGTCTTCACTTTACCGCCTCCTTGATATCGTAATCACCATCCAACTTCGAATCCTGATTGGCATATCCTCACAGGACCTGCATTGACTCGACTGCCAGGCGGCCAGAGCCGATCTGCAATGAACGAGTCATCGACGTTGTCACCGAGCCTTCTCGGAAGGAAACGAGAATCATTCATCAGCAGTGCGACCGTGATTATGCTACAGCACAAGACAAGTTTCTATACAGCTTTCGACTGTGGTCTATTGTGTATTCGCTGCCTTGCTCGTCTCCATTCACCGGAGAATTACATACAGGAAATACAGCTGCATTACGCCCTGCTACCGCAGTCGAAGCCGTTCAGTTAGGGCCGTATGACATCTTGGGACAGGTCTATAACTGCCCCGTCACAAGACCAACATGATGCATGCTCATTTGCCCTTTGACCAGCAGGCACTCGTGTCTCCTGGCTCAAAGCAGTCGAAAGCCGAGCGACCAATTAATGATCCTGAGACTTCATCTTACCCAGACACTGTGGTTGGTTCGAGACAATAGCCCGATCTAAGATGACAATGGAATCTAGCAGATAGCCGTTGCCGAGTTCCCCCAAGATATGTGGGGGCCGTTGCTAAGGGAGCGACATGCTTGGGTTTCGTCAAAAATGCCAAATGCCATCTCGGTAACTTACCCCTAGTAGTCAAGCAGCGGCTCGTTAGCTCACACCAATTCGTTACTATTCTTTTCTCGCTTGCTTAACCAGAGCGAACTCCTAGATCTAGATGTTCTGTCATTGATTGAGGTATTAGAGTTGCATGAGCGCGGCTGCCCCGTGTCACTTTGACACCGGTCGATCGAAAAGCGCAACTAAGGAAGTTTTCTTCTGTATCGGTACTCGGCGTCGTCTACTATATCACCAAATTAAACAATCTGCGCGATGACACACAACATAGATTGCGTACTGGTGCATTTGAAGACATTGCAACCGGGGCCGAGAGAGGTCGGCCTGTCAGGCTTCCAAGCCAATTTATATGCCGACGCTGGCCACATGCCATCATCCGAGTGAAGTGTGCCACAATTGAGCTACTACCACACTTGAGCTTCGCACCCGACCTCAAGATGCTATTCAATCCTAGAGGCCAATTCTCGCCATCGTACAAATTAGAGAGGAGATGAAGGATATGATTAGTCTCTCATTTGACACCCGCCCTATTCTTAGTCGGTTACCGTAGGTCCGAATCTATAAGTTGAGACACGTAGAAGACTCAAAATCTGTCTGATTAACGGCATGAGATCGACATTTGTAATGCGACATGGTATCGTTCGGCTGAGACCAGGCCAGGCACCAGACAATCACCTTTCGAGAGATGATGCGTGTCGTGTCGCATCGGGCACAATCTCACTTTGCTAGCTAACAATGCGCTATAACGGCATAATCTAGGTCGCAAGCTCAGCTCGAGATACGTAACACTAATGAGGAATTACAAGGAAAGGAATGGACTGGCTGATCCCAAAGCGCTAGGCGACCAAGGCTACACCCTCAATTCGCAAGATGCTGCAGACTCGTCCGTCCGCAGCAGGTCACTACATGTATGTGTGCTCCCCTGTGTCGAAAGCTCTATGGTGTCGGTTACGGTACACTTGTCACCTCACCTTCCAGTCACTCGGCATTTTAAGATCTCCCCGATCTGTCCGCAAGGTCGTAAGACATTGACTTGTAATAAATCCTTGCGCGCGGGTACCATGACCGGCGCTCCTGACACCCAAGATAAGGCCATCGGCCGGGAACCCGGGGCTTGCCGGATCATCACGGTTCTCCGGCAGTCATCCTCCCGCATCCCGGCCTACTTTTTTGTTCCTAAACATGGACTGCCGAGAAAAGTCCGCCACCGGGTATCCAGTGGCGGTCGGCGCGGGGCGTACCGTGCGGAGTGTGTATAGACTGTCTTTTCGTACTATTTTCACTGTATGAATCGCTGGGGTAGACGTCTGAAAACGGACTAGCGTGCGATTGCGTGATCGTTCTCGAACTGCTTGCAATGCTAATGCCGCAGGGTCTTGAAGCTTCGGGGCAAAGAATTGGCAAATTTCGAGGCGCTACAGGTATGGAGACCGGCCGGTCGCGGTTCTCGGAGGGTTGCTCTCCCGTTAGACCGTTTCTCTTTTTTTATTCTCCTTCTCTGTTTCTTTTCCTGTCGTGAATACTAGCTGTTCCTTTGGCTAGCTATTATCTGTCGCAAGTCTTCGAGATTAGGAGACACCGAGTCAGGCAGGAGTTTCTGTCTTTTCTTGGCCTCGGAGTACTTACACGGGCCTTGGCCGAATCGCGATCTGCGACGATATTGTCCCCGGTCCTCTCTTCACCACACCCGAAGATGCAGCTCAAACAACAAGAAGGTTCCGGCGCAGTTGCGCCAGTATCTCAACTCGGCGATGCCAAGCAGTTCAAGCAGCTGTCTTCGAGCACGCCCCTGGGCCAATCGGTCACTCTCTCCTCGATCTCGGGTCCAACATACGTTACGGGACAGCTCCTCGTCCAACAGGTTGCCTACAAGGTCTCTGATAAGATCTTCTCCTTCTCTCCCGAGAGTTTCGACCTAGATGCCGCTGTGAAGGACTGGTCGAGCAAGCAAGAAAAGAATATCCATGGATACGCGACGGGAGTGGTTCCACTGCAGACCCGTGCTGGGGCAGGCACGTTTGCGCTTGGATATGTCTTCTCCAAGGATTTCGATTTGACCAAGAGACACATCCCTCAGACTGTCCTGGCTCCGTCCCTGAGCTTGCGCAACCTCCGATCGACCCTGGATCAACTCTCACTTCTTTATGGAGTCTCTAGCCCATTTGTCGCTCATGTCGCCGCAGCAGACTACTCTTCAGATGAGGGTTTGGTTCCCGAATATGGCAGTGCTCTTCAGACTGCCGAGGACCTCGGTCTCGGCCTTGTGTCTAGCTACTCTGCATACGAGGCACAGCATATCTCTTTGTTCGCCACGCTGATGGCCAAGTATCTTCCTACTCTTCACGTATATGACGGTATTCGCTCGTCCAGGGAGACCGTCCGGGTTATTGACGCATTGAGCGAATCCGGCATCAAGGATATTTACAACGACCTGGTTAAGAAGATCGAGAGTGTAAACAAGAGGCTCGATACTGCCGGCAAGGTTCTCGAGCTCTTCCATGCTTTCAACGATGAGCTAGGCACCGACTACAAGCCTTTTGAGTACTACGGACATGAGGAGGCTGAGATTGTCTTCGTTGTCTTTGGGAGTGCTGAGTCTGTTCTCGCAAGCCAGGTTATTTCTAAGCTGGCCGCCAATGGCAAGAAGGTGGGAGCTGTCAGCGTCCGTCTCTACCGTCCGTTTATCGAGGAAGCTTTCCTGAGCGTCCTGCCAGCCTCCACGCAGCAGATCGCTGTTCTGGGACAGGTCTTAACTCGCACAGACGTTGAGGATGCCTCCGTTCAGTCGGCTTTATTTGGTGATGTCCTCGCTTCTGTCTCCTTCTCGAACAAATGGGCTCAGACACCGTCTGTGTCTGATGTCAAGTATGCGGCTGCTGATGTCGTGACGCCGTCATCTTTCTCGGAGATTGTGAACAGACTTCTCCAGGGCGGAGAGCCGGCCGACTATTTCTCGCTCAACTTTGCTGGTACTGTGCAGCAGTACACTTTCTGGAACGTGGATGACTCGACGGCCGTGAACTCTCCGGCTGTTATCGGCAACCTGCTTACTCGGGAGTCATCCAGCAATGTGTACATCCATGAGACACATGACAACTTGATCCAGGGTGGTGTTGTTCGCACAGATATCAGATCCTCTAAAAAGGCTATCGATGCACCTTACGCTGTGTCAGAGGCTGATGTTACGTTCGTCGGCGAGGAGAAACTGCTGAAGGAAATTGATATCCTACGAACCGTCAAGCCTCAAGGACGACTTGTCCTCAGGCTCCCCAATTTCAAGGTGGAAGATGTTGAGAAGCGTATCCCTGCCGGAGTCAGGAAGCAGGTGCAGGCTAAGGCCGCGGTCGTGTTTGTCCTGGACACTGCTTTCTCTCCTGCTCTTGAGAACGATACCGAGCTTCTGGTCGAACTCGCTTTCCTTAAGGTCGCCAGACCTGAGCTTGCCGCCAAGGATGCCGCAAAGTTGCTCTCCGTCCCTGAGGAAGGTACTTTCAGCGAGTGCCTGGACGCTTTGAACCAGTGCCTGCACAAGATGGAGGTGTCTGAATCCTGGGCTGAGCTCCCGGCTGACTTCACTGCCTCGGCGCTCGCAACTGCTCTAAAGAACAACAGCTTTGTCGGATATGATAAATCGGATCCTGAGCAGGGCTTACAGGTTGATGACTGGCAGTCTGCTGCCAAGGGCTTCGCCTTCAAAGAGGCATACGGCACTCAGACAAATCTCCGCCCCGACCTCACTGTCAAGACCTTCACCGTCCATGTCAAGGAGAATCGTCGCCTTACTCCACAAACCTACGATCGTAACATCTTCCACATCGAGTTTGACCTTGGCAACTCCGGTCTGACCTACAAGATCGGTGAAGCTTTGGGCATCCACGCCGACAATGACCCTAAGCAGGTTGAGGAGTTCATTGAGTTCTACGGCCTGAATGCCAATGATCTCGTCCAGGTACCCTCTCGCGAGGATGCCACCGTGTGGGAGACGCGCACTATTTACCAGTCGCTGGTGCAGAACCTTGACATTCTGGGCAAGCCGCCCAAGCGGTTCTACGAGGGGCTTGCCGAGTTTGCTACTGATGAGTTAGAGAAAAAGAAGCTCGAGTCTCTTGGTGGCAAAGAGGGGGCAGACGAGTTCAAGCATCGCTCTGAGGTTGACACTCTTACCTACGTCGATATCTTGGAGGAGTTCAAGTCTGCTCGTCCCTCGTTTACCGACCTGATCAAGATCGTCTCGCCACTCAAGCGCCGTGAATACAGTATTGCTTCTGCGCAGGCCGTTACACCAAAGACTGTTGCACTCATGATTGTCGTTGTTGACTGGGTTGACAGCAAGGGCCGCACTCGTTACGGACAGGCCACCCGCTACCTCTCCGGCCTACCTGTCGGCACCGCCATCACCGTCAGCGTGAAACCCTCTGTCATGAAGCTGCCGGTCAAGGACACCGCTCCGCTCATCATGGCGGGTCTTGGTACCGGTCTGGCTCCATTCCGCGCATTTATCCAGTACCGTGCGATGCAAAAGGCACAGGGCAAGGAGATTGGCTCCATCCTCTTGTACCTTGGCAGCCGACACCAACGTGAGGAGTACCTGTACGGTGAGGAGTGGGAAGCCTACCTGGACGCAGGTGTCATCACCCTCCTCGGTGCGGCGTTCAGTCGTGACCAGCCTCAGAAGATCTATATCCAGGATCGCATGCGACAGACCATGAAGGACGTTGTCAAGGCATACATCCAGGAGGAGGGCTCGTTCTACCTGTGCGGTCCCACCTGGCCCGTGCCGGACGTTACTGAGGTGCTCCAGGAGGCCATCGCCACGGAGGCGAAGATCAGCGGCCGCAAGGTCGATCCTCGTAAGGAGATCGAGAGGCTCAAGGAAGACGGCAGATATGTGCTGGAGGTCTACTAGATGTTCTTTAACTCGAACAGGACGAAGTTGTATATATGTCTCCAAATTGAATACTATTTTACTTGACTTGATCGTTACTTCCTGTTGTCAATAGTGTTAGTTGATTTGGATGGAAGTGAGTGGGCTTGCTGCACGCCAATCTTGCTGGTGCATAACATCGTGCTTTATGTCGTGCATATTGATCAGTATCCATCATCGTTCAGGGCTTGGTCTCCTCTGGCAACAGCATTACGACTGTGCACGTGCCATGTGGTCAGGTGATAGCGGGGTCAATTGCCAGAATGTTCGCCTCGTTTGGCGCCCGACCAGCGAGCGACCAGCAGCCTGGCAGTAAGTTAGGTCATCTCTGCCTACCTTACCTACCCGAGCAGATTCGACCCCACCAACAACAGCCTCTATTAGCCCTCCACCTCCTCTCTGCAAAACAGTCCCAGCCAGCACAACAACAGAAACTTCTCACCACTCGGTCGATCAACTCTCTCTACTCCGATCAATCATGGCGGACTCATTTGCCGACGTCGCGAAGCAATTCGTCGACTTTTACTACCAGCAGTTCGACAGCGACCGCAAGGGCCTTGGGCCTCTATACCGCGACCAGTCCATGCTCACATATGAGTCCAGCTCTGTCCAGGGCGTTAATGCCATCGTGGAGAAGCTCGCCGTATGTTTTGGGATAGCTCCCAAGAGAAGAAGCTGGCCCAGCTAAAGAGTTTACTAGAGTCTCCCCTTCCAGAAGGTGCGGCATCAGGTCACGACCCGCGATCCCATGCCTGGCATCGCCGATGGCGGCGTGTTGATCCTAGTGACGGGCGCTCTGTTGGTAAGACAGACTCGAGCCTTCAACCTTCCGAGCTCTTACTAAACATGCTTCTCACCTCTAGGTCGACGACGAGGAGCGACCGATGAACTTCGCCCAGACATTCCACCTGATGCGCGACCCTAGCGGCAGCTACTTCGTCTCGCACGACATCTTCAAGCTGGTCTTGGGTTAGATCGACAATCGACAAAATACATGCGCAGCACAATAGACAGAAGAGTTGCGTGTATGACACCTCATCGCGCACGAGGAAAATGCATGGGTGAAGAGTTATGTGATATGGAATGGCATGGGGGATGAGGGTGGAAATCTCGAGGACATCTCGGTTGATGAAGAGCATGTGCTCTTCTTTTTTCGGTTCTCTGCCTTCGCTCTGATCGTGGGGTAACTTAGGCTTTACGGATACCTTGCTGCAGAGGAGGAATACGACATTAAGAATATTTCTACGTTTGTCGGGGCCCTTTCAATATGGTGATGCAGTGACTTGAAATGCTTATGGCCTGTGATCTCTGAGTGGCGCTTCTGGTATTGATAAGTGTGCGATTGATAAGTCGAAGCTTGTCTGCAGAGGTACTTCAGGTCGTGTCAAGACAACAGTGTCCACTCGTATTACTATGGATCCAACAGCTCAGTGGATTTTTTTCTCCGTCCCGGCGAGTCGTTACTATTTATTGTTGCCTTCCCATCTGAAGGCGCAGCAACCTGACTTGGGCCGGCGTCTCGGCTGGGCCACGTAAGTGCTCACACGTAACTCTGTGCAGCAAAAGTCAAGATGCCTTGAGCAGGAATAGGTAGCCATCGATTATAAAGTAACACGGCCTAAGTAGCAACAGTGTGAGGTGCTTGTTACCCCTGAAAACCGTTTACTACTGTAAAGGAATTTTTGACGAAACAGCCCTGCAGTCTCAGAATAGTCTGTCACTGCTGTGCAGCAAAGGACGCCCAGCAGTGTGGTCCAATTGAGTGTCGGAATTTTTGGCTTGGCCCAATCCACCTTTTTTCCCAGGTCCCCGGCCAACTTGCGCCCCGACTTGCCGCGCAGCCGCAAACCCCCAGCAGGAATCCAGAAGACAACAACGTGCGCCTTCCGGAGCTCCCCCCCAGCATCAATCGACAACAGCTCTCTAGCAAACTACAGACAAAGAAATATCACCATCGCTGCACACTCATCGTCCCAAGCCCGAGCTGTCGAGACAGAACAGCCACTGTGGGAGCGCCATCATCCAAGACAGGACTAGCCATAGCTGCTGAAACCGTTGGGTGCGATCTGACCTCAGGCCAAGAAGCTGTCGTGGTCTTATTCGTCAGCCTCTTTCCAGCTCGACCTCGACATCACCACTTTCTACATCTCCAACTCGACTGACCGTACATTCGTCCATCCTCAATCAATATGACTCTCAAGGAGGAATTCGCCACTCGCAACTTCAGTATGTTGGGCAGCTCTTTAGATATGATAGCCGATAGCTAATGCTGACCTTCCACTCTAGGTATCTATGGGCAATGGTAAGCTCTGCAGCCTCAAAATATTCTACAAACTCCACGGCCTGGAATCACCATACCCCGAATCATTTCAGCAGGGGCTCTTGATGCAGTGACAAGTGTCTGGCACTGGCAGTTTGGGGATTCAACGGCGATAGGGACAGCTCTACTCGAACTAGGGATAGCAGCAAGATCGGGAACTTATTGAAGCTAACATCGGACTGCTAGGCTCGGAATCCTTTCCATGATCCTGTGCTTCGCGCTGGGTATCGCGAACATCTTTACCGGCCATGTCGTCATCATCATTCTCAGTATTGTCTGCCTGTAAGTGAACACCAATTACCTTCACACCATACGCTGTTCTTGCCAGGAACAGCCAATCTGTTCTCCGATGGGCTCTATAAGCGCATACTAATGACCAACTCTACAAACAGCTGCTCATCGTTTGTCATCCTCTTCATTGAAGTGCCGCTGCTGCTCCGAATCTGCCCGACCTCGAGCACCTTCGATGCCGCCATCCGCCGCGTCTCGACCAACTACATGCGCGCCGCCGCGTACGGCGCCATGGCCCTGGCCCAGTGGCTGACCCTGCTCGCCCGAGCGACGAGCCTCATCGCCGCTGCGGTGGTGCTGACCCTCACCGGCCTGTGCTACCTCCTTGCCGGCGTCAAGGGCCAGGCCTTTGTCGGCAGCAAGACGCTTGGTGGCCAGGGTGTTGCGCAGATGATCGTATAAATGCGCCCGCCTTGTGGAGGACTTACGACGCTGGATCCAAAGCCTTCTGCTTTGGTATGGGACTGCGATCCAGCCGAAAGCAACTGGCTCAGGGGCTCATCATGTGTTCACCTCCCCACGAGTGTACCACGGAGAATAGGGGAAAGTCCGGGGCGACGAGTGCGAAGTTACGATGAATAGGACATGGCCAGGGGCAGTCCTAATAGACTGTGGCCCAGCTTTTAGTTCGAGGAGGGGCTACTATCAGCATCTTTGGTTTGGGGCAAGGCGTTCCAGGCTTTCGAGACAGGTTTTCACTGTGAACTGGAAGGATACACTCTTCAGTTCCCCATTGAAGCCTCGTCTCGTTTTGAGTGTTTCTGTTGTTCAGGGAAAGTCTCTTTCATGTGCAGAAGAAGATAGCTCAGGTTATCCTCAGGAGATATCTTGGCCACTGGTTCGGTACAGGAAAAACTGTGTTTAGTATTATGAATTAGAAGAGAGCTGTTTATGACCCAGGCTCTATTTTACTTTCTACTGTTGCTCCTCTGACCTGGAAAGGCCTTGGCTACGTAGGGTTCCCGAGAAACGACTTGGGAACCATACAGGATGATGATCGCCGCCTGCCAGGACCTGAAAAATGACGTGCGGGAGAACGCGTGCGGGAAAGGGAGCTTAATGCAGCACCTAGTTTGGGGACACTTGGGATCCAGCTCGTGACCTATGACCAGTGGAGGGCCCCGGAGGAGCAAGTCCGCTTGAAGGCTCGGGATAGATACTTGTCTACCTTTGAACCCGGGCCCCCATACCTCACGAACAAACCGCAAATTTGGCGACTCCGAAAAAAAAAGTCTCAGCATCATTTGGCATGCAAAGGCGCGTCAAGTCAAGCTACAGCCAGAAAGGAAGCAAGCCAGGGGCAGGGGCTAGACGGTAGACGGGGTATAGCAGAGCACATGGTCATGGCCCTCATATGCAGCAGCTCCCCGTGATCATGAAGAAAACAGTGAAAACCTGGGGGACCTAACCGCCTCGGGCTAAGAGGTTCGTCATAAGGTAGGGCTAGCGTGCGGCCTGGTCGAGACCTGGCTGGCTGGCTGGCGAGTCCTGTTTGGCTGTACCTACATCACGAATTGGGGCTCAGGTACCCTTTTCCGCCTTCATTGTTGCCCTTTTGGCTTTCCAAACGGCGTGGACGTGGCTTTCACCGTTCTTTCTGTTGGTGGGCTCTTTTGTGCTTCGTATTGGGTCAATTGGGAGGACGCATCTGCAGAGGCACACATCTGGGCACGTTGTTGATGGGGCCAATGGTGTGATGCAGACAGTCAGTCAGTCAGTCAGTGAGTCGTATTCTGCGAGTTGCTGGTCCTTTCCATAACCAAATTGACAGCAAGAAGAGCGGCATCCCCTCGTTGCGCCACGGGTGGAGGATGGCGTCATATGATGGACGGCACTGTTGGATTTCCCGGGACGACGATGGGCTCTTAGTGAGGTATTTCAGGTCCCACGCATAGTGAGCTCCTCTAGTTAGTTAGTTAGTTAGTTGCGAGGGGCCACTCTCCCACTTTACACAGCAAGGCGAGGCGAGTGCGTTGCGGGCTGTGCAAAAGGAAGCAGAGCTGGGTGTCATTAGGTATTCATTGCCTTGCCTTGCCTTGCTTTGCCTTGCTCACTCACCCTGATGGCTAATAACAGCCTGTCTGGCCCGCCTGATTCTGACAAGCAGCCGCCATCATCTCACGACCATACCAAAGATACAAAAGTGAGGAGACAGAACATTCCCAACTGTTGACCGCCAGAACAGTTTCCACATAAGATGCATGAACCGGACTGACTGACACCATAAACCTTCTCACACGTACCTGCCCAAAGTCACTTGTCTTATTCAAAGTATTTAATCACCTAATAAGAGACGCAGAGTGGAAAAAAAACAGGCCCGGCTTCTCCAGGGGTTCGAGGTGCTGGATGTGGCTCGAGTAGGCCCGTGATTGGCTAGCACTGTGTGAAATTTTCACGAAGTAGACAAAGTCACTCGCCTCGACGAGGGGGTCCTGGGGGGCGTGCATGACACTTGCTGCAGCGTATCGAGCGAACGAACGGAGGCGTCCCGATTGACAGCGATCGAAACCGAACTGACCTCGACTGTAGGTCGGTATACTGGAGTCAAGTCAAGTCAAGTCAAGTGAAGTGAAGTGAAGTGACCTGAACTGTGCCCCCTCCTCACATCATGTCTCCTCGTCTGCCCGGTCTTACTTACAGGTCCTGCATCTACCCCCTATTCCTCCTTCAGCTTTGCGGGAATATCTTTGGGCACCGCTCTCTTTCTCTTGATGTGAGTCCCTCGTCGCGGATGCAAGTGCAGCGCAACCCGGAGGCAGCCCGTTGGAGCCATGTGTCTCGAACTATTGGAAGTGGAAGTGGAAGTGACTCTTTCGTTCGTTCGTCCGTGTAGGAGAAGCCCGCTGGCTAGCTAGCTGTGTGCAAAGACTCAGAGACTCACTCACATCAGTGTCAATGAATGAAGTCAGGTGGGGCATTGCCAGTGGAGATTTACGCCATTATTATGGAGGGAGGGGCATTTCTAGAATCAACATCAATGTACTCGTCAGTCCCCCCGCTAGAAGGTACCTATTCGAAGTCTCGTACACGGAAGACGTGCTTGGGCCGTTCCCCGTGCTAACCTTCCCCGGAGACCCTGGAATTCTCTGCAAACACGCTCCCGTCAGGCCCGGCTTTGGCAGATGCGAAGCCTATCGTGAAAGGGTTTGCCTGTCAGTCAGTCCCGAGAGACGAACAAGGTCTAGAACAATGGACGGAATGGTCTGCTCGAGGGCCTTCGGAGTGGGTGGGTTGGTTCACTTGCGGGCGGGAAGTTTGGGATACGGCGAGTGAATGGAAAGTCAATCGAAGTGTAACTGACGACGCCCGGGCAACAAACAGGTTGGCTGCCGGCTTGAAAGGATGACGGTTTGTGAGGGCATAGGGCATAAGGCATGAGGACAGGTACCCGTACAATACATACATACATACATACGGACGGTCAGCTGTGGACGGTACGTGGTGTGGTGTGACTGCGTGACTCCGTGACTGGCATCGACAGTGCTAGACCTAGGTACTGTGCAGTAGTTACGGCATTTAGCGCACATTGTAGGTGCAGAATGGGATCAAAAAGGTACCTCTCTAGGTATCCTACTGCAAAGTACAGTACAGGACGGTGTGGTACCGGTCGGTACTTGACGCAAGGTGTCGTGTGCAGTGAGTTACCTGCAGAGTAGCAGGAGGAGGAGGTATAGCGAAACCGTGCGCCTGTCTGGGAAAGGCGGCCTTTTTTCCCAGATCTCGAGATCCCTGTTTTGGGCGGGCCCTGGATGGGGATGCGATGCTGTTACGTTTGGTGCCAAAAGAGTTGTAGCTAATGACGAACAAGGCATTTGACATTGTGGCCGGCCCCAAAAGAATGAGAGCGATATAAGTGGCCCCTGCCTGCCCCAACTGACTGACTGATTGACTGAACTGACGCCCGTTTCATCATAAGCTTCAGCTTGCCTGAATAACCTACTGCGTACTCAGTCATAATAACCTTCACTCTCAACTACGACGACGACAGCAACTCCTCCTCCTCTGTCCCTGTCCCAATTGGATTTCATTCTACCCTCCCGATTTACATCACGAAACCTCATCTCTCTTCACCATTCGAGGTTCTTCAGGTATGTGCCAGCGTGAATTGCATCAAGCTGTCTTTCTGCTGCAAGAGGGAGCCAGCCAGACAGGTCCCTTCCCCCCTCCACTACACACCACCATCATGGCATCACCCTCAGGGCATACAATACGCGTCAAGGTGGCTTCGAAGCCAACCACCATCGCACTCGAGCTTCAATCCTACCTATCCTACACTCGGGACGGCTCTCCGTGCCCCTCCATCGTCTATCTGTCTATCTGTCACCATATCGGACGGGCTGGATAAGAGGGCGTCAGACGGCCTGCCAGGCAGTTCCCATTAGCTAGTCGAATCTCATGACTCGCCCTGTTCTGCCTTATCAAGACGCCTATCTTCGGAGGCTCGACATGGAATTTGGCTGGCTCGCCTGGCTGTTATCTGCCTCCCTACCACCTCATGCATTACCATTACCGTATCATTCATTCACTTGGTTGAGCCTTGCTTGATGCGATCTGGCTGCTGTGCCCTCCGGATCTTTCTCGCTTGGACGGACTGCTTTCCGGGGCTTCTCACATGTTGAGAGCTGCATATCGACTACTGCACCCGCTCCAGCTCCCTGCCCTTGTCACCCGCCTACCTCCCTTGTCTCTTGTCTCCCTGAACTGCCTGCATCTGCATATCGAATTGGCACTGCACTTATCTTGCATCGGAGCGACCTCGACTCCCTACTCACCGTCTTTTTCTCGTTGAACAGCTCAGCTAACCAAAGCTCGAGATCAGTTTTATAGGAGAGATCATCCACTGCCCTCCCTATACCAATCGAATCTTGAGTGTTTCCCCTTGGTTTCACAACCCCCTTCCGTCTCGAATCATCAACTTTTCTACTCTGTTGAATACGCTCTTGCGTACGACTGCCCAAGATGTCAACAGCAGCAACACAACAACCTCCCAACATCCCCCCTAGACCTACCAGGAGTCAGGATCGGGATCAGGCTGGCGGCGTCCCCAAGATCCCACCTCGCCCGATCAACCGACGTGTCCAGCGATCAGTTTCGCCAAATCCCGACCGCTTTGCCCCGTCACCCCTCAACGACAGCCCCTTTCTATCCAAGAGCCCGAACTCGACACGCAACGGCTACCTAAACGACGGCCGCAATGGCGACCCAATTGAGCGCTCCGGCAGCGTCGAGATGCCCTCTATGGTCGGCGAGGAGGGCAAGGAATACGCTGCACTGGCCGAGGAGCTCAGCTCGTCTCGGGACCAGAGTGCATCTCCAGAACAGACGAGGACCGTTGGTGAGGACGTCAAGCTACATGCACCAAAGCCTTCATTGCCGCCTATGAGCGCCAAGCAACGCGTCATGGCGGTCACCAGGACCGATTCCGACAAGGCGGCTTCGTTTGGTATTGGCCGGCCTAGCAGCGAGGATCCTGTTCCATCGAACCGCAGCCTCAAGAAGAAGGCCAGCACCATCAGTCAGCTGTCCACTAGCGAAAACGTCGATGATGAGCAGGGCATCCCTGAGATTGGCCAGCAAGTGCCAATGTACCCCAACGCTGGTGACGTGCAGGCACCATCGCCAGCTCCCGGCTCTGAGGGCTACAGGAAACACCACAAGAGGAAGAGCAGTGCTCGCGGTCTGCCTCCCGGCAGCTATGGTCTCCATGGCCATGGCGTCGTTCCTCAAGACAAGCTTGAACGAGCATACTTTGAGAAGCACCCTGAGTTGCTCAAGAAGGAGCGCCACCCTCATCACCACGACCGCCCCTACGACTTCTCTATGAGCAGCGACGATCTCAACAAGATCGTCCGCAGCGAATCTGGTAAGCATGACTGGGAGTACCTCCCTTCCCTTCTGAAATTCTAACGAGAACCCAAGGTCCACATGACGCTGCTGGCACTCCCGGCGAGCAGATTGAATGGAAAGCTTACGAGCAGACCACATCCCGCATTACTTCTCCTCGTCCGCCCTCGACCAAGCCCGAAAAGGCCTCATCCCTCCGGCGCTCTTCTGGCCCTGAGATCTCCGTCTCAGATGCCGACGAGGAGAAGGAGGTCATCCATATTGATGAGCCGGAACGCCGTAAGAGCGTTGTCTTCAGTGACGAGGAGCTGGCTGAAGATGAGGAAGATCATCCCTACACTGCACCGATTATCGCCGAAGATGCCAAGCATGAGTCGCCTTTTGAGAACGCGCCGGCCGTAGACCCTCCCAGGGAGCGACGTGGAAGTGCCTTTGAAATGGATCCACCTCACAGCCGTCCGACAAGCCGACCTTCAAGTATTTACCGCGTTGAGTCGTCAGAGCCCAAGCCGTCTACACTCGAGGACGTCGAGGAGTACGAGCCCCTATTCCCTGAGGAGGAGAAGAGCGGAAAGAAGCCAACCGCTGCGGAGGTGGCCAAGGCCAAGCTTCTGAAGCAGAGGTTCCCTAGCCGAGATATCTGGGAAGATGCCCCTGATAGTGTGCACTACAGCGCCGAAGTCTCAACACCTGAACTACCGGAAGAGGCCGAGAAAGAGAAGGCATTAGAACACCCTATGGATATTCCACCCCGAGATGGCGAAACTCCTGCACAGGCTTTCGCACGCCATCAAGAGGAGCTCGCGGAGAAGGAATCGAAAAATTCGGAAAGTTTCCTCCATAGGCAACAAAAACCGACCTCTTGGGCTCAGCACCGCCTTGCTCAAGAAACAGCCTCATCTCGCCCTTCCATGGCTCAGAGATTTCCGAGTCAAGATGTATGGGAAGACACCCCTGACAGTCTGAAGCTTGAGACCACTGTCTCGACGCCACAGCTAGAGGACTCACCCCAGCCCGAAAGCCCACAGCAACCTCAAAGGGCTGCAAAGCCCGCGATTCCAGAGCGACCCAAACCCAAGTCTCCCGAGGAAACCTCAAAACCTATCATACCAGACCGGCCTAAGCCACAAGTTCCCGCTCGCCCACGCAAGGCGTCGACTTCAGAAACCAAGGAAGCTGCTGCTCCTGCTCCTAAGCCAAAGCCCGCAGTCCCCGCACGGCCGATGGGCAGTAAGATTGCAGCGTTGCAGGCCGGTTTCATGTCCGACTTGAACAAGAAGCTGGGACTGGGACCGCAAGCCCCGAAGAAGGAGGAACCCGCGGCAGAAGACCTCATTGAGGAGAAGGAGAAGGCGCCGCCACTGCAAGACGCTCGCAAGGGCCGTGCTCGAGGACCTCAGCGACGAGCCCCCGCGGCCACAAGCCCCAGCCCGGCCGCTGCGACTCGGTCAGAAGCTCCCGCGCCTGCTGAGAAGCCTAGACTTAGCTTCGCAACGACAGTGACGGTCTTCACGATAGATCCTGACGAGGGTAGTATAAGCGTGACGGAGGCCATTGCCGACTCGGAACCTCTTGTCGGAAGCGAGACGAAGGAGCCTGAACTGCCGAAGGAAGCTGAGTCAAAACCAGAAGCAAATGTGGAGGCCCAGCCGGAAGACACATCCGAACCGAAACAGAACGACCCTGTGGAGGAGAAGACGGAGACCCTGGCAACCAACACTGCAGGCGAGACTCTTGTGGAGGCGACTGTCGAAGAGGACAAGGACCAGACCGTGGAGCCGACGGAGGTTGATCCTAACACAGCGAAGGAGTAATGACAGCATCAACGCACGATAGTGGTTTGCAGTTCTGTTTAAATGTTTTGCCTTCCTTTGTCTGAGTACACCGTGCCTTTCTCATGACTTTCTTTATTTTAGCCGTCTGAAACTGAGATGTTGGCGGATGGGGAGAGTCAAGAGGGGGTGCGAGGAGACAGCATAGGATCAGTGGGGTAAGAGATTTGAGCGGATGTTGGATTATGTAGTAATTTGTGGGTGTTGGTGTGTGCGTCTTCTGTTCTGGTGTGTTGTTTCTACTTCTCACTGTCATTGCAGCCTGCTGTGGCTCTGTGTGGTTATGTCGTCCCCTGCCTCTCACTACGTGACTTATCGAGAGATCTGCTCTTGAACCCTTGCTATACACTTGGATAGATCACTGACAATATAAGCTTGATGTGACTGCATCATCTCTATGAAAATTTGGTCATGCCTAGTCAGTGACAATGCCTTGTATTTGAAGACCAATGCTCGTAATAGTGAGCTGGTCTATCGTGATCTCGTTGGTAACTAAATTCAACAAAGTAGACTCTCTCCTGGCGGGGAGGGCTGGCTTTTGATCCAGAGAAACAAAACACCCCTGCGCCACTTATCCATGCCGAACAACAATGCCGTCATAACTTGTTCTACTTTACAATCACTAATTCGTCATCGTCGTCGTCCTCGAGCATGACCTGCCGCCTTTGGAGAGCCGTCTTGGCAGCATTGCCGCCCGTCACTGCGAGCTCCGCCCCGAGGCTCTCCCGCCCGGCCTCACGGATGCCCTTCTCCGTCACGAAGCGCGTCTTCTTGCGCACCGGCGACCGGTCCCCCCTGCTGCTCCGACCCGTGGCCGTGGTCCCCGAGCTGAGGCTGGTGGCGATGCTATTGCCGCTGCTGCTCGCCGGTATGCCACTTCCGGCCCCGGTCCCGGCCCCGGCCCCGTCGCGGTGCAGCTTCTCGCCCTCCTTCATCCGCGCGAGCTTGTCCTTCAACGAGGTGCCCCAGCCGAACCCGCCCTTGCCGCCGCCGAGCGTCCCGTTCGTCGACGTGGACGCCACGCTGGCGGGTCGCTTGCGCTTCACGGGGCTGAGGCGGATGTCCAGCTGCGTGCCCTTGGGCGCGAGCAGTCCGAGCGACCTGGCGTCCCTGGGCTCGTTGCCGACGGTTGTGCTACTGCTCCCTGAAGTCATGCTGGGGAGCGTAGCCGAGGAGGACAGGCTCGATCCGAACCCGTTCTGGCCCTTTGAAGAGGTGTCGTTGGCCTCGAGACGCATATAGTCGCGTCCCGCGCCCCTCCCCAGCTCACCTAGCCTCTTTGCGATATCACGCTCCTTCTCCTTGGCAGCGAGGCGCCTCTTCAGACCCTCGGCGCGCTCGCGCGTGTCTAGATTCGCCAGCCCGCCACCATCACGGTCGATCAGCGACGCCGCGCTGGGGCCCCCGCCGCCGCCGCCGCCGCTGACGAACAGCCGGCTCTGCGTCTCGCGGTCCCATTTGCCGGGCTGGTCGGCCTTCTTGCGCTCCGACGGCTTGTACTTGTACGCGGCGCTGCGCCTGTAGTCGCGGCCCTCCTGGCCCTTGCCGCCGGCGCCAAAGTCCATCATGTTGAGCTCGGTGCGGCCGCGGCGCATGCGCGACACGGCCTCGTTGGTGTGGAACTCGCAGTGCTCGGTGCGCCGCGCGTTCACCCACGCGCTGCACAGCTGGCCGTCCTTCTTGACCGACTTGCAGTAGCCGAGGTCGCGCGCCACGCCGACCTCGAGGATCGTGTCGCCGTCGCTGTTGATCACCAGGCTGAAGCGGCCCGTGTCGACGCGGTTCGGCGGCGGCGGCATGATGTTCGGGTTGAGGATCGCGACCACGGTCCCCGTCGCCAGCTGCCAGAAGCGGTCGAAGCCCGTGTTGAAGAGGAAGAGGTCCATCTCGTACGCCAGGTCGACGAGCGTGATCACCATGTACTTGCCGCGGTCCTGCTGGGGCTTGGGGTTGCCCGAGCTGTCGTACCCTGGCTTGTGGGCTTTGGGGTCGGATTTGGAGGCGATGATGGCGAAGACTACCACGTCTGACTCGTCGTCTGGCAGCGCGAAGTCTGGCGCCTTGACTTTTGCGAGAAGATCTTTGAGCAAATATGTCTTCTTTCCGGTTATGGCTCGTGTGAGAACCTGATGCGGGAGGAATCGGCTTGAGAGGTGTATCCCAGAATATGGCTCGAAGGAGGGAGCATCGGCTTCGTCTCCAGCTGGCTGTGAGCTAGAGTTCAGGTTTGGTGCTGTCTTGCTATGTCTTAGGTAGCCCCCTTTCGAGTTCTGGAAATTCGAGAGGACTTCATCTCGGCTATACCCTTGGGTATGTGAAGTGACATCCGGAATATCCACGGCTTTGCTTTTGTACTGCTCCATTTCCTCCTTCCCTAGATCAAAGGCTTTGCTCCGCAGCTTCTGTATCCTCTCCTGTTTCTCACGTTTTGTGATCTCATCTGTGCGGGCCGAGGCGAGTCTCTCGTTGAAGCTCAGGGGCCTCGCAGGCGCTTCTGTTCGGCCAGCAGCCGACTTCGATCTCTGTAGATATCCCCCATTGTGATTGTCATCCTGCGTCCTCCTCAAACTCGCTGCTCTCTTCAGTGAAACGTCATTGGCTTTCCACCCCTTGTCGATACCCAGGGTTACCCTACTTGGAGAAGTCTGGACGTTTGTGGGCGGCTGAGCTTTCCTGACTGGTGATGCTGGGACTTGTATAGCTGCTTGTGACTTTGGCCGCTCGAGTTTCTCTGCTCTCTCCTGGGCAAGCCGCGACTGGGCCCGCACACCCACTCTTGACGTCGTCGCAGAGGTTGGCGTTGGTATATCATTCTCTCCATTCGACAAGCCATTCTTTTGCGCCTTCGCAGCCTGGAGCTTCTTCAACTTCAGCCGCGCCTGGATTTCCTGCAACTTCAACTGGAGCGTCTCCTCATCCTCATCTTCGTCCATCGCGTCTTCCATTGCTCCTCCAACTTCAAGGCTGGTAGACCGTGACACGAGCAAACCTCCGGCTCTGGACGTTCTCGATTTCGTCGGTGATGGCGACAGTGACCCCCGCTCTGTCATTCGGCGCAGACGCTCTCGGCCCCCCGGGGTGCTTAGCAGGACCTCGTGCGGTGATCTAGGCGGCCATTGAGGCTCTGCACTCGCGGCATCTGCTTATAGCTATTAGCGGGATGTATCCCAAGTTGCCCCTTCGGCATCACGATCTGGGGCATACTGGAAGGCATATTCTGTTGGCCACCAAGACACTGGTGCTGGCAAGGCCCGTGAAGTGTCCCAGCTGCAACGACCGACCGACTGACGAGAGGGTTGTTTACCCCCTTCGTTAGCGGTCAGGGACTCTCCTCGCACCCAGGTCGTGGTGGTGCAAGGGTGTGCCCTATATCAGCCAATTAATATGGCACAGGAGCAAAACAGCGTGCAACTCCAGTGGGACACAGCAGCAGCATCCAGCAAATTGGCCGAAAGGTGTGTACAGCGAGCGCTCTGCATAGAGGAGGAGCAGCACACCGAGAATGCAAAGGGACTTGAGAAAAAACGTCGATCCAATCGTAAGGCTTCGAGACGGACGGCTGCACTCTGACCAAGGCCTTCTCCTAAAACTAATTAGTGTCATGCGGCGATGGTATCGATAAGCTGGTGGAAGTGCCGTCCATTGATGCAGGCGGGTTTCTATGGATGAGACGCGGTCCCGGAAAATTATTGGGCGGCGCGACGCGACTTACACGCGCCGGCAGGGGTCTGATCCCTGCATCCCTCACTACGTACCCCCGTACGGGATCTCAACCTCTATCGTCGATAACAGCACAAGCACGAATTTAGGGAAAGTAAAGCTGTCGAAGATCCAATATCAATCCACTGCTATTTGGGATATCTGCAAATAATAGTGTTCATCCAAGATGGCGAAGACGAGGTCGAAAGGCGGCCCATCAACGGCATCGACAAATTCCACCAGCGCAGTATCGACTGCCTCCAAATACAGCCTGTCTACCGAGTCCGAGAACCCACCAAAATTGTTCATCCTACCGAAGAAAGCAAAACCAGAGTCGCGAGTCGTCTCTTTGCTGAACCCCCGTTACTCAAGGCCGACACGCTACCTCGTCTGCCCCGAGACTGGGACCTATGAATTCGTCAAGATATCTGCACCCAAGACAACACCTAGGAGTTGGCTTATTGAGGGCGCATCAACGACATCTGACCAGACAGATGATGCTCAAACTCCCACCCCGGAAGAGACGTTCGAGGCACATGTCACAAAAGGAGCAGACCTCTACGTGGCGACGCCAATTGACCCGATGTTCCTCATCCTCCCCGCCCTAGCAAGTCAGCTATCGTCCGCAAAGAGGTTATTCCTCTCGAGCGAAGACCATTTCGATTCAGTCGCGGACGAGGCGCCGCACATGTCAGAGATCCTGCGATGCAGCCACACTCGAAAGCTGCTGGAGACGAGGATGGGCGCCGTGTGCGACACCGTGGAGGCCGGCGACGAGCACATGTATCGCGTCAGCGAGGAGAAGGTGCTCAGCCAGGTCCTGTCGAAAGCCAAGGCCATGAGCGACAAGGGGCTGCCGGCGAGCATGGAGGAGAAGTTCGTCAAGAAGGCCCTGGAGGCGCCGATATCGAGTGTGAAGAGAGAGAACCCCACCTTAGAGACTGCGGGGGTGGCAGAGTCCGGGCCGGCGACGCCCCTGACTGAGTCTGCGGAGTCGCAGTCGTCGGTGTCTACTGTCGACTCTTCGACAAGCCAGGTCTCAGACCCCTCGACGGCTGCGACCTCGGTGGCAGACGAGTCCGAGGCACTGAACACGGGCGATGTGACGTTGGCAATGCAGGCGTCGCAGGAGATTGTCAAGCTCCAGAGACTCAGAGTTGCCTTCAACTTCATCTGCTCGAATTATGTGCCTGCGAAGCTGACTGAGCTGCTCAAGAAGCTCTTAGCAGAGGGCAAGGGCTCGGTGGACTTCAAGCCTCTGGATCAGTATGTCGAGAAGTTGACAAAGCTACGGCAGGAGGCCACGCTGGCCAGGTCGGCATCTGACTACTCTCGCAAACGGACACGGGATGAAGAAGACGAGGATCGCGCGGAGAAGAGGCGGAAGAAGGAGGAGGAGGATAAGCGCAAGAAGGCCAACGAGAGCCGAGGCGTGAAGGAGCTGAAGAAGGTCAACACGAGTGGCATGATGAAGCTCAGTGCGTTCTTCAAGAAAAAGTAAGATCGAGAGATGCTGGATTTTGCCATGATTCACGGAGTAGACTTGGAGTCAGGATATTTGAAAAACACGGCATTGGAAGAAAGGGCCGGAACAGAATAGGATGTGGTATCATTGGGTTTGGTATATGCATGTCCTAATTGCAAGCCAGGATTTGGTTGAGATTGGCTTTTCATCTGACACCTCTTCCTCTGCCTCTTGTGCTTCCAGACCCGCGGCCTATGCCCGACCCGACACTTCTCGTACGCTGTAGGCCAGACGTGTTGCTGGTATCGCTGACAAAGCTCGAGCCGGCGCTGCCCCTAGCAAACCCCCGTCCACGCCCCCTGGTGCCTCGAGTTGTCGTCCCACGTGTCGACGTGCCTGCTTGTCTCTGACGCTCTTCCTCCTCCAGCTTCCGCTGGCGTTCCTCCCGCCTGCGTTCCTCCTCAGCAGCCCGGCGCTCCGCCAGCATCTGTTGCTGGAGCGCCTCGGCCTCAATGTCCTGTAGATCCTGGGTCGCGCCTTTCCAGTTGGGGTCCAGAATCAGGCGCTGGCTGTGTTCGGTCTGGGACAGGATGCGCGCCCAGGTATTGAGCAGAGTCGAGGCATTGGTCACGGTTTGCGACACGGTCTAGAACCCCCGGCCGCAGTCAGCGGACGATGCTTTCCCCCCTCGCATGGGCGGCGGGAGACGAGACATATATAGACGAAAGAGGAGAGAGACTTACACCCATGTTGCCCTTTGCGCGCTCCAGAGTGCCAATGACCCCCTCGATGACCTCATTGATGTTGCGCACGCCCTCGAGCTCCCTTTTCAGAGCGGCCTCCCTGACTTCTTCAGCGTCGAAGAGGGCATTCTTATTGGATGGGGTCTTGGGCCGTTCGCGTTGCGGGGTATCGGTGGTCTTTGAGGGCGACGAGAAGAAGAGGTCGGAATCGTCCATCGGGTCGGCCATGGCGGTCAGTCAGGGCCTGTGACGATGATGTACGCAGTATGTGTAATTCCGCAAATGCAGGGTCCCTAGGTCAGAATTGACTGTGATCGTGATTATTGACGTTGTTGATGTTGTGGTGGTAGTCAATCGGAGGAGATGGGATGACGTCTGTTTGTTTGCTGCAGGAAGACGGGGCAGGCAGGGCGCTGGCTGGCAGTATGTTGTGTGCTGGCAACCTTGAATATTCTAGACTAAACTTGACTGCCCACTGTGGTGTGTTGGTGGGCAGCAATTGGAGGGGTGAGGGGGAGACTGTGGCTTCACTGGCTTACTGCAGAGTAGAGGGGCAATCAATGCCAAGGGGTGGAGTGCCCAGATTGCCAGGGGTGTTTTGGCGACGCGTTTTTCGCGATGTGAGACGCGTCTTGCTTGCTTTAGCGTGCCAGGTGTGGGAAATTACCAGCCTGCAGATGGCTGGGGCGCCGGAAGACAGGGGTGGCTCCCCAGCCTCTTAGTGGCCCCCAGCTGCCCAAATGCTCCCTCCCAACTGCCGCTGGCGCCCTGGGTTTTTTCAAACTTCATCCAACATCGCCAGCGTCATTGTCACCAACTCTGAATAAACCACACCATTCGATATTCCATATCCGCGCATCCTACCCTAATACCACACGATCCTATCTATACCTTAGTCCTCGAGTCCATCTAGTCTTGCCGGTCAAGCAGCCGCAGATAAGCGTGGCCCATTGTTGACCGCCGTTCTGGTTTTGGGATCTCTCTTCCCTTCTGGGTTCTGACCAGCTTCGGACGTCCTCACGATACCATCGAGCCTGCGCGCTTGCCATCGACGTTGCTGGTCCTAGGAAATTAGATCTTGATTGACCATTTAGCCTCACGCACTGTCCAAGCACACAATTCATCGGACGAACTCGATTTACCCAAGCTGTTGTTGTCTTTCGGGTCCCGCCAGAACCGCCAACATGGAAGTCCTTCAAGTCGCCTCAACACCATCACCCCCCGCCGACATCCACACACCTCCCACCCCCAAACACGGATATAGCGACAACTGGGAGCCTTTCTCTCCTCGCAAATCAGCTCGCCTATCATCACAGCGCAGTGTCAACCGCACCCCTTCCCCAAAGGTCTCAGCGCGTCATCAGCTCGTATCTCACTCCCGGTCACCAAAGTCCTCGAAGAAGCATCGCTCCGAGGTCACCATCACCACACCTGCCACCTCACCTCAGAAGAAGCGCTTCCCAACCATGGACTCCGTCCGTCGCGCCTCTGGTCCCCTGACCGCGGAGAGTACTAGAGATGCAGCCGCCGCCCTTGGTCTGACCAGCAAGACCACCAACCGCTCCAGCACTACCAACCACTCAAGCAGAACTGGCATGCTTCCCACTCCTGCCAAGACTCCCGCGCGAAAGCATCCCCAGCAAAACGAGGCCAGTATCAGCGCCATCGCGCGTAACCTTTTCCCGGCTGAAGACGAAGTGCTCCCGAGCCCCAAGAAGAAGCGAGCCAAGAAATACACTGGCATTTCTATGGACAGCTTCATGGCTGAGGAGCCGCCCATTGAGATCTTCACCGACTCTCACGAGCGCATCCCCGAGGTCGACCGCAGCTCTGACAACCCGTTCTACGGCCCAACCGTCCTTCCCGCTCCTGAGCCCACTAAGCGCAGGAGCAAACGCAAGAACGTTGTTGTACCCGGCGAAGGTGCGCAGACGGTCGATGAGGCGATGCAACGTGAGGATGGCCTCGTCTATGTTTTGTGAGTAACTCCATTCCAATGATCTGTGAGCGAATATCAAGCTGACGTATTTTGTAGCCGTGGAAAGAAAATGTTCAGAAAATTCGCTGATAAGGGAAGCGATGAGGAGCTTATCGACGAGGACAGCCTTACCGAGAGTGTTGCAGCTGATCAGAAGCCTTTGACTCGCTCATCCATCAAGCCTCGCCTCTTGTTCCCGCCCCACGAGAAGGCGCAGGACGAGGCTATCTCATTTGAGGATGAGGAGGCTGAGACCGATATCGAGGATCACGTCAACTCCCAACTCGATGTAGAGAACTTCGAGACTCCCGCTGAGGCAGTTGATGTCATGCCCGGCACACCTGATGCGCCCAAGTTCGCCCCGGCTTCTCCACCTGATTCTCGTCGCACCACTCGCTCCGGAAACAAGAACGCCGAGGAAGCTACTCCTATCAAGCCTCGCGGCAGCAAGCGAAGCCCCTTCGACAGCTGGCGCCGGGTTAAGAACGGCGCAGACAGCCATGGTCATAAGCGACCGGGCAGTCCTCTCAGCAACGAGGCCGCCTCTAAGCGAACTCGTGCTTGAGGAACGGACTCTTTGGTTTTTGAACATCATCTTCTTGACTGCGCTGGGAGTTATGAGATCTATGCGACACAGGGGACTTCTTTTTTTGATTGCGGGACACAAAGTTTGAGCACAGGAACTCGTTGGAGCGAAAGGGGGGGCTTCAGGCTATGAGACTTCTTTTCTTGATACCATATTCCCTGAAACTGGAAACGTACGGTAACTTGAAAACCCACACGCCCTTTTTTGGCCCGGCAATAGGGAAATGAGACGACATGACAGGTTAATTGGAGTCTGCGGTATGGACCTTTTCATTTGTTAGACTTAGGATGAATGAGATAACCTGTCAACTGCTTCCTGACCATGCAACCTATGCGCACAATCTCTGTGACTGTGTAGATCTGACCACTGCATCTAATCTTGTGACATGTCAGGTCAAGAAATTGGTGGCTGTCAACGGCGTTTGAGGGCTTTCAAAGGCAGGTCAATCGCGAAGCACGAAGAGCAATGTCAACTGTTTTGTTGTTCACGCTGAGTTGTGTTATGGATTCATGAATAACTCCCTTCTCAAGATAATATTGGTCTTCTAAGGCAAACCCTTTCTACTATACCCTAAGGCCGATAAAATTGGTACACACTGGGAAAGCTTGATGTATTTGAGAATAGTATAATTAAGGATAAAGTCTATAGCTTGATGCAAAATAACAATTGGTCTTAGGAGGCTACCTAGGCAGTGATCTTAGAAAAAATTGGCTTGTCATATATCTTGTAGGTTGCCCATCCTAACAAAAGTTTTGGTTAGAGTATTTGGTCACAAATGACCCCTTTCTCACCGGTTTCAGTGAGTCTGTTATTTTCGAAAGTTCAAGCAGCTCCACCTGAGAACGGCCGAGGAACAGTCTGGACGAAACCGTCTAATGGGCAATAGCTTACTTTTCACTCACGCCATTTCTTCCAGCTCTGGTGTCTGCCCGAGCGCACTCTTGCGTGTGCGGCTCCAGTTGGTTGAAGGAACGGGGCGTCCGACCGGAACGGGGCCAAGAAATTCGGGCTCCAAGGGAGTTTGCCCCGCCCCCGCAATCGCGCAACTTGCTCTAGGAAATTTTGAGCTCTTGCATCACCGGCTTCCTATATCGGGAACCTACACCCTTTCCTTTTAACACGTGAACATCAGCATATCCTATCTTTAGACCATTGCCTTCACCTTATACACACTCAATTGAGTCCTTGAGCTTACGACCCTTTTGCATATACACAATAGACGAGTCTCGACATAGAAAGAGGTCGAGGGAAAAGACGATGCATATCCTCGTCGTCAACGACGATGGCCCCCCCTCGCCGCACGCCTCACCCTACGTACACAGCTTGGTCCGTGGACTCCAGGAAGCCGGCCATGTCGTATCAGTGTGTCTCCCGCACACTCAGCGGTCATGGATCGGCAAGGCGCACATGATCGGCCAAACGGTGAAACCGCTGTACTACCGCCCGCCGCCCGACTCGGATCCGGCCAGCGTGGGCACGACGCACACTCGCCCGGCAGCCAGCGCTGACGTGGAGGAGTGGGTGCTCGTGGACGGCACGCCGGCCAGCTGTGTCCAGATCGGCCTGTACCACTTCTTTGCCTCCAGGGGCCCGGTCGACCTTGTTGTGTCAGGGCCAAACTACGGCCGCAACACCACTGCCGTCTTTGCGCTGTCATCGGGCACGCTGGGCGGCGCACTCGAGGCTGCCGTCTGCAAGAGGAAGGCCGTGGCGCTCAGCTACGCCTTCTTCTCGCGCAACCACGACCCCGTGATCATTTCAGGGGCAACTCGGCACTCGGTGCGTGTCATTGAGGCGCTCGTCAAGCAGTGGCCCACGGAC